GGAGGTGTACCCTGGGAAGAGAACGGCCCCCCTGGACCCGCTGCCCTGCCACGGCCGTCCCGTGGCAGCAGGGAGACCCGAAGCCCCGTGCTCTGCCCACAGTGCGGAAGCCCACGGCAGAGAGGGAGTCCCGGACAGGTTTGAGAGCACCTGGGAGGACCTGGGCCTGCGCAAGGAGCACATGGTGCTCCTGGACCACACCGGTCCGTCCTCCGCCCGCCCGTCCTTGCTCAGTTTCCCTCGGCTCTGGTATCCACCCCGGGTCCGGGCAGGCCGGGGTGGGGGCCAGGCCTAAGGCTGACGGCCGCTCTGCCCCTCAGATCGCTGCCAGAGGTTCCCAGACTAGGGCCGTCGGCACCTGCAACAGGTGGGTGGCACCCCCGGGGCTGTGCTCCTGCAAGCACATGCCGGGCACACGCCGTGCACACGCCGTGCACACCGGGGTCTGAGGCCCATACTCCCGGCCCCTCGCCACCCTGAGGAGCCCGTGCCCCTCTGAGGTGGGAAGGGGGCCCCACACCCTCCTGTCCCCGCCCTGTGCGTCCCTTCCGCCATCCCAACCCCACGGACAGTGAGCCAAGGAGCCAGGTCTGGGTCACCTGGGGCTCAGGGGGGAGGTCGGGGGTCAGAGGTGAGCCCTTTGCTGGGCCCCACCACTCTCGCTCTCCAAACCCTCCAAGAATTTCGCTAAGAACGCCCCACCGTGCCCTGCCATGCCGCCCCTCCTGCTGCCTTGCCTGGGCCCCGCGTCCCATTGGCAGGGTCTCTGTCCCATCCATGCTTTTCTCCCTGGGCTGTGGTCCCTCCTTGCTCAATAAACGATTTTCCATCACAAGACAACTCTGTGTCGCCCCTGATCTCGCCTGGGCCGGGCCCTCCCTGCACCGCGGCAGGAGATGCGTCTCAGCGGCGGGGGACTGGGCTCTGCGGGCAGAGGAGCAGGCGGGCGCGGGAGTGGACACGGGCCACTGCAGGCCACACCCAGGCTGCCGGGCCCCCTTGCCTGTCCTTGTGATGTGACTGCACCTCCACCCCAAACCCCCTCAGACCTCCTGTGGGCTGAGCCAGGCACGGTGCCAGCCCGGCCCGAGGGGTCAGCCATGGAGTCGCTCTTCCTTGGGGCTGAGCGCGGGCCCCGCTGGAGAACTGTGGTGTGAGGTCACTATAAATGCCTGGAAAAGGCTGTTTAGAATTTTCCCACTGACTCCGCCCAGCAGCCTGCGAGCATCCCGTCTCGCACTGAGAACGCAGCCCGCGGTCCAGCTGTGCGCTTTTATTCAAAATACAGACAAGAGAGCAGCCCGTGGTGCAGGCGCTCGAGACACCCACGCCATGACACACAGACTGCGGGGCGCAGTCCCCAGGGCCTGGCGGGCGGAGGGGGCTCTGGGCCGTGAGCAAAGTTTGCAGACTGGATTCCAGCTGTGGCTGCGTCTGCGGCCATGGCGTGTGGAGACTCCCTCCCACCGCGGCACTGCGCTGGTCCAGGTGCCGACCTGGTGGGCTGTCCTGACCCCAGGTGCCTACGGCTGGCTCCTCCCTGAGGCCGGGGTCTCCATGGCAAGGCCAGGGCTGGCCTTCCCTCTCCTCCCTGACACCAAAGCCCCCGCGTGGCAGCCACATCTTGGACCCCGCAAGACCCTGCAGAGCAGGCCCTTGCCAAATTCCAGTCTCGGGGATCAAAGCGCCTTTCAAACTGGGACTAGGAGGAAACTTCTAGCGTCTCACAAAGGGTGACCCGAAGCGCCCAGGGCCAAGGCATCCCCAGCAAACCTGCTATGCCTGCCGTCTGGCCCTGCCCCGCGCAAACACCGGGTCCACGATGCTCTGCCAAGCACACAGGCCCTCACGTCCACCCTTAGCCCGGTGTCCAGGGACTTCGAGGCCCCAAGAAGTATTTGGGAACCAGCTAATCAACAGATTACCAGCCCCAGCCCTCATTTTACTTTTGTTTTTTGTTGCAACATAAGCCAAAAAAAGTGCAAAAACATCAACGCGCAGCTCAGTGCACTGTCCAAAGCGAGCACGTGTGCCCCACCCAGCAGCCAAGACCCCCCCGCTCCGTCCCCGCCGACACGGGCTGTATGCTGACTTCCCATCGGTTACTGGGCTGATTGTTCAAATCCACACCCGCGAGAGTCAGTGCACACCGCGGCTGGGCCGCACCCTCGCCACAGCTCCGTGGCCACCGCGTGGCCATCCCGTCGGTTCTTCAGTGGGGCCGTGCACACATCTGCAGTGGGGCAGACCAGCGGTGCAGGGCTCGGCTCACCAGGGCTGCCTGGGGCTCGTCCAGTGGGTTACGCCCCACGCTGTCTACGCAGACTCGGAGCAGTGAGTGACCCAAAGCACCTCACCATCCGACGGTCTTGCTGCAGCCACCATGGCAGGATGGACGGTGGGGTGGCCAGGGGCAGTGACATGGGATGCAGGTAGGGAAAGATAGTAGCTTAGGCGCGGGTGGCCCAGGGGGCGCCACGAGGCCAGGCGATGGGCGTGCCTGAGGCTTGAGGGGAGAAGCCACGGAGAACGGAGCCACAGGAGGCTGGTCGTGGCAGCTGCTGGTGGCTGGGGCAGACAAGACTGAGAACCGACCTGAGCTGGGCCTGGGTGGTGAAGGAAGGGCCGCAGCACGGATTTCGGGCCAGGGGGCCCGGTTGCCATCTTCACAGTGGGGACACTGAGGCTCACGGAATCTAAGGACACTGCAGGTCCAGGCAGGGTGGGTGCTGGGACCTGTGTCTCTGACGGGCCCCCGCGTGACCCTGTGCGGCACGCGGATTCAGAACCCATCCACGGCCCAGTACCTGGACAGAGGCTCTGAGGTCCCTGGGCTGGGACCTCCCTTGCCGCCAGCATGGCTGAGCCCCGCCCTCTCGGCTCCTCCGCCTGCCCAGGACGCCCCCACCAAGCCACCTGCATGTTCCGTGCTGCTGGGAACGGGACCCCAAGGCACCTGTACCTGCCACACCACCGTGGAGCCCAGCGACTTGGCCAGGTGAGGGGCAGAGCTGAGGGAACAGGGTGGTCCTCGAGGCCCGGAGAGCTCGGCTTGCTGTTCCCCAGTCTGCCTGACCAACATGGATGAGGCAGGGGCGTCGCGGCCCAGCGCTGTGGCTGCCGTTGGCTGCAGCTGGACAGACAGACGTTGACCGTGGGGTGAGAGAGGCCGCAACAGCAGTGGCCACATGACCAGAAACCCCCTCCCTGCAGGGGACAAAAGGGCTACCAGCTGCCCGCTCTGGACACTTGTGGCAGCACCCTGGGGTCACCCTCGGCCATGCCCACCTCACCGTGCGCCTGCAGCTGCCGCGTGGGGCTGGCCCTGCCTGGCGGCCCAGGGGGGGGCCCCAACCTCAACGACAAGACGTAGCCCGGGTGTGGGGGTGGGGTGGAGTAGGGCCAGTAGGCGGGAACAGGCCACTGTCCATGGTCCCAGGATGAGACAGGGGGACCTCAGGACTCTGGGGGCCGGGGCAGGGCTGAGCCCTGCAAGCCTCCGCTGCCAGGCCCAAGGCAGCCTTCATGGGGCCCCAGGCCGAGGCGCCTCCCTCCTGCTGCAGGGTCTCAGCTCTGCGAACCGGGGGCCCCGGGTAGTCTGCAGCAGACAGCCCTGCCCCAGGCACCTACCTGAGCTCCTCCAGGGACACAGTGGGGCTCAGGTCCACCCCTGGACGGCCCCAAGCGCCCGGCTGAAGCCCCTGCCCTGCCCCCTCTGGGCTGCTGGACTCCACCGCCCACGGCCTGCAGCCTGTCGATGCTCACGTCATGGAGCCTCCACACCGAGGTGCCGTCCGCCCACGGCAGGGGCTCCCCAGTCTTGCCGTGAAGTGACTCCCAGGAATGGATGGGACATTCCGGCTTGTGGGGGTGAGCTGCGCACAGGCGCAAGACTGTAGCCTGGTGGGGCTGTGTCCCCAGGGGGACTGTGTCCTCTCTGGGGGGGACAGGGACTGCTCTGGCCCCTGAACACACTGACCTGGAGGACCTGAGCCCGTGTCTCCAAGAGGGGAAGGTGAGCCCAGCAGCCCCGGGCGCGGATTGCGCCCATCTCTGCGCGGCTGAGGCGGGGGGGTGGGCGCAGCTGGCAGGGTCAGCCCCCCAGGCTTTGGGGGCAGGGGTGGTCCAGACACTGGGGCCAGGTGGCCTCTGCCCAGGGTCCCGAGCGGACGCCAGCCCTTCCCTGGGGACACCAGGCTAGGGGAGGACACAAGGTCCTGAAACCGCCCCACACAGCACAAGGCCCAGCCCTGCTGCTCTTCGGAGGTGCAGAAGGAAGATCCGCCCGCAGGCCAGGCTCGGTGTGGGGCAGTCTGAGCCTCTGAGGGCAGCAGGGCGGGGGATCTGGCTCCCACGGCGCTGGCAGCCTCCAGAGCTGGACCCCGGAAGCTGCCTGCGTGGTGAACGGAGGCGGCGCGATCTGCCTGTGAATCGGATTAATTACACAAAAGCCACACAAGCTTTGCTTCCTCCACAAAACCGCTTTTCCTCTTTAATAGTCCGCCTCCGCCAGTCCCGGCCTGGCAGCCTCTCTCAAATTAGAGCACAGCTGCAGCCCACCCGAAATATGACAGGCGCACAGGCCGCTCTGAAATGCTCCCACCTGCTCCCGCGGCCGCCGGGCCCTAGGAGGCAAAGAAGTCGGGGAAGATGCTGTCCTCCTCGTCCCGCAGGGCCAGGTCCGAGCAGCCCAAGTCCGAGCCCCACGGCTCCAGGGAGCCATCCTGGAGCTCCTGGCAGCCCGACTCGGGGTCCTCCAGGAGGCCCGGCTCTGCCTCGTCCAGTGGGCTGCTCCTGGCTGTGGCCAAGGTGGGGGCCCCGCATCCTCTGCCCTCCAGGGACCCTGGAAGCAGACAGGCACGTCAGGGGAGCTCCAGAGCACCGGGGCAGGTAGGTGAGACCAGAGAGAACCAGGCTCTGACCTCGTCTGCCCAGCACACCTGTGACACGGGGACACGCACCCTGCCTCTTCCCCTGGCACAGAGCCTGTGACCAGGACGGCAGATCACACCTGGCACCCTACTCCAGGCCCAGGACACCCGCGGGGTCAGAACCAGGAAAGTGCCCCCAACACTACGAGCTGGGGAAGGTGGATTCTGGACACATCACACAGCCAGATGCCTTTGCAGCCAGTGCGGGCTGGCCCGCGTCTTGCCAGCATGAGGACACGGGGTCCCACATGTCACCAGCCCCACGAGTTGCGTGCGGCACACACACACACACACACTCACGCGGGCCCATGCTCACACACTCCCGCTCACGCGTGACCTGCCCCTCCCGCCAGTCATCCTGACAACCAGGCATCCACGGAGCAAACGGGGGTTCAGAAGCCGACTCCGGGACCCCGTGTCACGCAGCTCACCAGGCCTGGTCCCCTCCACAGCCCCGTGTCAGGTGCTGGTGCGAGAGAACGGGGCCCCAGACGCAGCCCTGCTCACCTGGCCACCAGTCGGGACTGGCGGTCAGCAGGAAGGCCATCCTGTCCTCCCCGTCGGAGCCCGACACAGACCTGGGGGTGAGAAGACCCCTGAGCAGGCTCAGGCCCTCGAAGGCAGACGCTCGCTGAAAGGCGGCCTCTGAGTCAAAAGGGACCAGGGTGCTACCCGCCCACCCGGCGGGAGAAGCCGCTGCCCGGCACCACCCGTCCCGCCCAGGCTGCCGGCACCGCCCTGCCTCCCTCCATCGGCGGCCTCCCTCCGCTGCCCACGCCCAGCTGGCCGTGCTGGGCAAACAGAAACTCATCTCACCACCAGCCAAAACAAAAGACAATTAGGAAGACAAAAGTGTTTTCAGCAACACACAGAGCACGTGGCGGCCGGGCCTGGCCGAGGCCTCAGCCCACCTGCCGCAGGCGTCCCCGATGCAGGGACGAGGCCTTCCCACATGGTGCTGGGGGGCCGAGGCAGAGAGGAGGCGTGATGGCACACACACACACGTGTGCACACACACGCACCCGGGCACCCACCTGGTGTCCGGCGCGGGCACCAGGGCCTCCTCGGCTGGCCCTCCTGGAGGGGTGGCCGCCCTGGCCAGGGGCTCGGAGTGGCCCAGCCAGCTGGGAGCCTCTTCGCTCATCACGGGGGAGGTCAGCTCCCGCGAGCAGCGAGGCCAGGGTGACGGTGGTCCTTGGACCTCAGTCAGGCCTGCGGGCTGGGGTGCCAGGCTGGAAGGCTCTGTGAGAGGCAAAGCGGGTCAGCCCGGCCCACCCGGCTCCACAGACTGCCCTGAAGAACCCACAGTGCCCAAGCCCAGTCCCCTCACACCAACCAAGTGTCTGCCCAGCCGCTTGTGCCTGCAGGAGATGTGTGGAGGGCAGCTCAGAGCGGGCAGCAGACACGCACCCAGGGAGAAGGTGACAACCGAGAGATAACGTGCCCAGCACCTGCAGTCATGGCGCTTCCTGGAGGAGGTGCCAACTCCGCCTAGGGTCAACTGTGCGGGGCTCAGACCTGGGTACGCTCCTGGTGCTGTGTCCCTAACCCGGGCTCTGTCCTCCGACCTGCTCCCTGCCCCCAACCTCTGCACCCCTGTGCCCTGAAGACCCCAGCTCTGGCACCAGCCCTGCCATGGTGGGCACATGCGCCAGAGAAGGCATCACAGAGGCGCCCTGGAAAGCCATCGAAGAGGGACCCGAGCCTGGCTGTGGGCATCGCGGAACCAGAGGCTCTGCTGGGAGGGAACCGCCGGGGAGCTGCAGGCCCGTGACTCCCCCGGGTACGGGCAGGGAGCAGATGGGAGCCCTGGGGACAACCAGCCAGGACAGCTCGGGAGCGAGTCCACCACGGGGCGGTGGCTGCTGGAGGGGGCTGCACACAGGAGCGGCTGGTAGGCTGACCAGGACGGGCCCGAGTGCCCTGTTCTCACACTTCCAGGGAGACCCAAGGGGCCCTGCCTCCAGGAAGCAAAGGCAGCCAGGACCTGGGCCAGCCGGGACCCCACTCCTGGAGCAGAGGGAGGTACGGGGGCGGGGGTAGGATGCAGGGCACAGGCCAAAGGTAGACCCCGGCCGGGACATCAGGCACCCGGCCTACCTCCTTCCCACCGTCCCTCCCAAACGCCTGTCACGTCCGCCCCCTCCTGGACACACGTCCTTCACAGGAAAACAAAGTTTGGCCCGGGGGCCCTGCAAGGTCAGCCCTAACAAGCAGGTTTTTCACACACGAGACTGACTTGAACCTGTTCAGAATCAGACCCTGTTGTTCTCGTGATCACAAGAAGGTCTAGTCCAAGGTGGCCGGGACTCCCAGGCCAAGGACACCACACCCAGCTGTGCTCAAACGTGCACACACTTACCAGGGATCAGGGGTGGCCCGTCCAGCTCCTCAGACGACCCCGTCAGAGCCTTGCTCTCGGCCACTCCCAGGGCTGCACAGCGCGGGGGGTCCCCCTGCCTGGACAACGCAGACACAGGACAGGGACTCTGAGCCCCACAGGCTGGACAGAGACCTGACCCCGGGACCAAGCGTGTTCTAAAAGCACCTGTGTGCCTGGGGTTCTCAAAGGAACATGCTGACGAGGACCCGGGGGCTCCCCACCTTCCCAGCCCAGGGGCACAGAGCCCCCACCGTGACAGGAGACTGAGACACTGTGGCACCTCCACCCTGGGCCAGCTCACCCCATCCACGAAGAGACTCTCTGCCCATGCCCGCCCAACCCCGTCCCACCCCCCGGCTCCAGAAGTTTCCACAGATAATCAGCAGCTGGCCCTGGCCTCCATGGGCTAAAACAAGCACGTTTAACCCAAGAGGCAGACAGTCCTCCAGCCCAGTCACCTGTCATTCTGAAAAGCACCAAGTCATCTCAACCTCGGGAAACTCCATTCCTGAAGCCCAGGACGGATAGAGGTCTCACCCGGGGAGGGGGTACAGTGCCTCTCAATGACCCCACAGAACAGAGGAGAGCCCCAGGCACCTCCCTCCCCCACGCCAGGCCACTCTTTCAGGGCTGCCGACCAAGCTGGCCTTGCTGGACCCGCTCACGCCCAACCGTCCTGGGCCGGCAGGCGCCGGCACCACCGCTGGGCTTGTGGCAAGTTACTGGCTGTGGAGACCCAGCCGGGGTCTCCAGGCCTCGCCCCCTCTAGGACATGCTGAGGCCTTGCACCCGCCACCCCCCGGGGGCCCAGGGCCCTGCAGGGTGGCCCACGGGGGGACACTAACAGAGTCACGACGCACGCTCCCGTGCCGGGGCCTGGCGTGTCTGCCGGGACCTGACGCGACAGGGCCAGCTGCAAGACGTTCTTCCGCAGCGAGTGCCACGCCTCCTTGGAAGGAGCAACGACCTGAAATTTAAACAGATGCAAAAAACGGTGACAAAGTAGTCAACGTCAGCCAGGAAACCCACGGGGAAGGCAGGCTGTGGCCAGACCCCAGACCCCGATGTTTAGCATGAGCTTGGCCCCCCACTAGTGATGGGGGGGCGGGGTGACAGCCAAAGCCGAAAATACCACTGAGACGGCTCCCTCTTCTGAGGGGCAGGTCACGCCCACCCAGGGGCCTCTCGGCAAACGCCGGGACCCCACGAAAGCGAACACAGCCCTGCCGCCCAGGCCAGCCCTCGGCACCGGCACCTGCCCACTCCGCCAGGCCCACGTGGGACCGGGAAACGAGACAGAAGCCTCTCTCAGGGCCCAGGTGCACAGACATAATCTGAGTGGTGCTCAGCCGAAGGGACTATGGGGACCCCAACTCTGCCCAAAGCCGGCATCAAGCTTTGGGGCCAATGACCCACCAACAGGATGAGGGGTGTGAGGAGGGAGGCAGGGCCCAGCCCCACCCAGCAGAAAAACAACAGCACGTGGAGTCTGAAAAAATCGGGGTGTGCACTGCGGAACGGAGCCGGCCCTGGCCATCGAGGCAGGTGGCAGGGGTCACACTGCCTCCAGGGTGGTGAGATGTCCCATCACCGGCTACTCCACAGAAGACTGACCAGGTCCCTCCGCTCCCAACTCTCCGCATGCTGCTCCCAGCCAGGCACCAGCGTGCGTGCGAGCCGGATGAACTGCACCGTCATCTCCAAGACCGAGGCCATGTCCTCCCGCCGGCCAGCGAACCGGGGTAGCAGGGCCCGCAGGCGCTCACAGCTCATCGAGATTCGCTTCCTGCTCCCGGGCAAACGACAAACATTGTGAGCCTGTGCGGCCCCCGCCACAAGAAAGGCCCGCAGTGGCATCGGAACCGCCACGGAGCCACCCTGGGGCTTCAGAGGCAGAGGATCAGGAGACCGAGGCCACGCGGCTCTCCATGTGGTCTGTGCCCTCTAACCTCATAAAATAGAGTGGGCCTGACCTCGACCACAGGCTGTCTACATGTTTGCAGCCGTCTCCCCAGGCCCGCACCACCCCTGCTTTGTGATGTGGGGAAGAAAAGGGGGTCACAGGCAGAGTCAGGGGTCTGGAGGATTCCAAACGCACAACCTCGGGAACCCAGGGCTTCAAATCAAAGCAGCTGCGTGGCGGTTCTTGCTTAGGTGGAGACACACCTCGCAGGCTCTCCCAGCACCCACACAAGCTAACCCCCACCGCCTTAAAAGCCTCCGACTCCTGGGGCCCGTCACTCACCGGCGCTCCCTCTCGCTCAGCACGTTCCGCGGGAGGCCGGGGCTGGGACCCTCGGCCACCGGAGGGGCTGTGGCTGGACCCGAGCCCGGCGCGAGGTCCTCGTGGCAGGACAGGGAAGAGGCGCTGCCGAGAGCAAGGGCGCCGGGCTAAAACCGGGGACCACCAGGAGCCCGGGTGCGGGCGTCCCTGCGGGCCCGGGTCGAGGCCTGGGTCTCCCGGGTATGCGCCGAGCCCGGCGCAGTTGGCGCCCCGCCGCGCCGGGGCTGGGGTCCGGGGGCTCTGCCTAGGTGGGCCGCGCGGGGAAGAGCAGAGACTCGCAGGCCGGCCGCTGCGCAGAGGCCTCGGACCGACGCTCGCTGCCCCCACCCAGTTCCTCACCTGCACCCCCCAGAGGCGAGGACACGGGGGACCCCAGCGTCGGGCTCAGGGTCCTGGGACGCCATGCGCGCGTAGCTGCTGAAGGAGCACCAAGGCCAGGAGATCTCCACGCCGGTTCTCGCGTGCGCGCCGCCGGCACCTCTGCCTCCCACCCAATCCGCCCCGGCTCCGCCCACGCTGGGCCCGCCCCAACACGTGCACCGGCCCCGCCCACGCCCCACGTGGCAGTCCTCAGGTTCCTCCCCCAGAGAAGTTGCCAGAAGCAGGAGGCGCGCCCCTTCCAAGCCCCAGCCCGGCGCACTGTCCCCGCCCTGCCCTTTCCGGTACCTGCCGCCCTCGGGTGCCCTGAGCGACGTGGGGACGCGGGCCCCGCCCGGAGGACCTTCCCACCTAGTCTGGGAACTGTGGGGCCGGGATCCCTCTGCCCCAAATCTCGTACTCATGCGCGCCGCTCCGCCTATGTGCAGGGCCGCCACCCGCCCTACTGGGGTCGCCGGCACCCTTCTGGTCCTGGCACCGGGGCCGCGCGACCCAAGCTCCCGTGCCCCGCGCCTGCGCCCGTCCGGCCCGGCCCCAGCTCTCCCAAACGCCCCGCCTCTGGCAGGTCCGGGCAGGTTAGATCCAAACGTGCAGCGCTCTGTGCAGCCCGTCCCAGCCGGCCGGTCTCTGTTCACCTCCTGGCTGAATGTGGCTTGCAGAAGTCACTCAATAAACTTCTGTGGGACAAATGATGGAGGGAAGGGGAAGGTGGAGACGCGTCCTCTGCCAAGGAGGTAGCTCCTAGGGGAAGCTGAGGGCCGGGAGGAGAGCAGCCTGGGAAGGGGAGGTGCTGAGACTTTGCATCCTACTTGGCACGAAGCCCCTGGCCCCTGCTGGGGACAGGTGCTGGATGACATCCCGTGGAAGGGGACAGCTCCATTCCTGAGAGGAGCAGCAACAGGCAGTCTGCCCAGGGCGCCCCTGTCTCCAGAGGAGGAGGCGGGGCCCAGAGGTGGGTGGAAGGAGCAGGGCAGCACCCAGGCTGCTGCAGGGGGCGCCTGATGCAAGGTGTCTGCCCCTCACTGCTCAGCCCAGGCCACTCACAGGAGGGGCCCTGCGTGGAGGCCTGGGGGTGTCGCCGGGATGAGGAGGGGTGGGCAGGAAGTGGGGGCCTGGCCCTCTCCCCTCCGTGCTCCTGGCTGCGGAGGGAGGGCAGGGCTGGCGTTCTGGGCTGGGCTCTGTGGCAGCAGGGGGCCAAGTTTTGGTTTCTCTAAAGAGTCCTGCCTAGGGCCGTGAGACCGTCCCTCGGGGAAAAGCCCCCAGGATGCGGGACTGCCCATGAGCTGGGTGGGGCACAGGCTGCCACCTCTTCTGGGGACTCGAGAGTGTCCTAGACCCCTGCCAAGTCCCCCCCCCAAACATCTGTGTTCAGCCTGCTGTTTCTTGGAGGCAAACAGGAAAGTGACATCAGGAGAGATGGGGGGTGCCACGCGCCCTCCAGACTGGGCTCACACCAGCCTCGGCCCCAGTGGGAGGCCGGGTGGGGACCTGAGGCCTTGAGAGGTCTCTGTGTGTCTCTCGTTGCTGCGGCCCTGGGTCACAGACTGACAAAGCGCCAGGGACAGAACTCTGGGCTGTCCGGGGCTGAGGCCATCCCAGCCAGGTGACGCGTGGTTCCAGGAGTGTGCGTGTGGATGGGACGGGGGTTACAGCTGGACCTCTCCTTCCCGCTGGCCTTCCCTTGGGGCGGTGGGAGGGCTGCAGCACCTGAGGTCGGGGTCCCTCCTCACTAGCTGCTTGAGGGTGCTGTGTGTGCCCGGTGGGTGACAGTGCAGGGTTGGGCACCAGGTGGGCGGGGGCAAGCTGCTGTCACCCCCCAGGCCCAGCGGGTTCCTGCAGATTTGATGCCCACAGACAGAAAGCCTGGCATGGGCAGCTGCCCAGGGGTCTCGAAGCTGGTTTGTGCATGAGTGACCGTGTCCTGACCACGTGCTGCACGGGGGGTGAGGGCCGGCCAGGGGAGGTCAGAGTGGAGTTGCCCCGCCCCCCGGAGCTGGCGCCCTTGCTCAGCATTTAAACTGGAAGGGCCCGAGCCCCTGCGCACCCATCCCCCACGGAGCCATCCCAGGAGTGCATGGCTGGGCGGCGCGCTTGGGGGTTTCTGGCCATTAACGAGTCCCCTCTTGTGTTTTGGGGTCTCGAGGGCTCTGAACGCCGTGATGCGGGCGGGTTCCGGGTGGCGGTGTGCCTGAGTCCCTGCCTGGGCCAGAGCCGCCGCAGGTCCCGGAGTGGCCGGCAGGGGGCGCGCGCGGACAGGCGCCCGAGCCCGACCTTGGAACAGAAGACGTCGTGTGCGGGGCGAGCCAGGGTCCGCTCCAGGGACCTGGGCTCCGTTGGAGCCGCCGCCCGCATGCCGCTCCCTGATGGGGCTCTTAGCCCAGGGGACGTCTACCAGGGGGCGCCTGGCGGTGGCTGCGCCAACCGGAACTTCGAGTTTGACACCAGCCCTTGCGCCCCCAGGTATGGCCTGCCGCGCCCTCCCCCATGCCAGAGACCCTGCTTCGGGCCAGCACCACCCCCAGATTCCCAGAGCCCCCAACCCCCAGGCCCAGGGCCACCCACCCCCAGGACATTTGAGCACCCTCGCGACCGTGTGGGGCTCAGGGCACCCCTGGGATGGGGCTCTGCTTGTGGGAGGTGCCGCGTCCACGTGTCTGTGCCCTGGAGAGGGGGGTGGCCATCCTCAGGGACTGAGCATCTGTGGGGTGTGGGAGGTGGCAGGGGAGCTGGGGGCCCTGCCCGCAGGAGGCTGGAGGGGCTGGGGGCAGCGCCTCTCACCCTGCCGCACCCCTGCCTGGGGGAGGGTCTGTCTTGTCCCTCCTGTGTGGGGTGGGCCCAGGGGGGGCACTGGGGCCAGGGTCCCTCATGTAGTAGGCTTTTCTGGATAACCCTTCCCGGAAAGACGCCTGACCGGGAAGTGGGGTGTAAGTGGGCTGTCAGGTGGGGCCAGGAGTCCTGGGCCTGCGTCCCTCTCACCGTTCCCCATCCTTGGGAGGGGTCAGCTCAGAAGGGACTCCAGGGGGCCGGAGCCAGCAGTTCCGTGCAGTGACATGGCGGTTAAGGCTGGAGGGGGGGATGAGCCCCTGACAGGCCAGAGGCCGGGGTTCAAGGCTGGGTGCTGCTACTGCTGCCTGTTTCCTCTGTGGGACTCAGTTTCCCCGTGTGTAAAACGAGGAGGTGGGTCATTTAGGGTCACGGTCTTTAAGGGCCGTTTCTGCTGCGGGACCAGGCTCGAGGCAGGTTTCCAACTGCAGCGTCAAGCGGCAGGCCTGGTACCCGCAGGGTCCTGGCGGGGCACAGCTGGCGTGAGGCGCAGCTGCCCTGGGAGTGAGCGATCACCTGGTGGTGTCTTTGGAAGTGGGGCCGCTCTGAGGGATCACCAGGTGATGTTTGCCTGCCTGCCAGACACAGAGCGCGTGGCCCCAGGAGGGCTCTTGGGTTCCTGTCCTCACCACGGTGGCCCTGCCGTCCCCCTCTGCAGCCTGGTGTCGCCCCGCCCCCGGCCGTGCAGCGCCCGGCTGGTCTTAACCACCTGCCCCAGGCACAGTGGCAGGGCCATGTCCTCAGGGTCTGGGTGTCAGGCCCTGGCCTGGTGGTCTCATTCCCCCCAGGCCCCCATGTCTGCCACCTGGCACTGCCTGCCCACCCAGGGCCACCTGTCCTCCCCGCTGGTCTGAGCCGGTCCCTGTCCCTGCAGAGATTCACTGTCACGCTGCAGGTAGAGCAGCTGCCAGGGCTGGGGGGAGTCAGCAGGTTGGGTGGGGACCCCTCAGGGAGGCCCAGGCTGGGTGGGGGGCCCCAGGGAAGGTGAGGCGCTTCCGCCCCCGGAATATCAAGCTTGGGGAGGGAGCAGGATCTGGCCTGGGCTGGGGGGGCAGCTGAGCTCGGGAGGCCAAGGCTGGAGGCTGGGGAGGTGGGGCCTGGGCAGGTGGGCTTTGCCAGGGAGCAGGAAGCGTGTCTCAGGCAGAGCCGCCAGGTGAGTGGGGGGAGAGGGGCCGTTCAGAACCCGGAGCCTGGGGTCCAGCGGCCTTGGTGCCTGGCTCTGCTGTGTCCGGGCCCAGGCGCGTCTGCTGTGGGTGCTGAGACGCAGTGCTGGGACCCCACCCCGCAGTGTCTGCCCCCGTCCACACCCACAGACCCTCCCAGCGGTGCACCAGGGT